TAAATTTAAGTTATATATAAAGTCTGCATACATCACCACCCATAGTGGTGTTCCCAGCTCTTTATACCACATATTTGGTAAGTCTACCTATGGTATTCCAGGTCTCTGATCCTGCAGTGTAGAACCCCTGACTTGAGGTCCGCAGTTTCCCACCCAATATGGCCTTATCATTCACCTTTTTCCTATTACAGCTAATGTACACCTCCAATTCTGTTTTCAGACTCTATATTACCCCTTATTCATCACCCATTATCTACTTTTCCTGGTTGTTTTCCAGTTTTGGGTTGCCAACCTACTCCCATGGCTGGTTTTGGTTCTTGCACCTACTTCTGTATACTTTTGTATTCACCAGTACTTCCTTTTATAGCTACACCACTTAAAACTACTAAGGTCCATACAGATATCAGGCGCCTCCTGCAAGGAATCTAGACTTTTCTTTACATCCTTGTATTGGAACTACACACTATTACCATTTTTCCAAATCAGGGTTCCTTATGTTAATGACTTTCTTTATGTTAAATTTTTTTTCCTTTTCTGAATATCATATAACCCTACTGTGGCTATGTCCACAACTTGTTACCAACTGTGGTCCTGGCAGAGAACAATTCCCTCATGGGTTTCAAACTCGCAACCTTACGATTGAGACCTGGGAGCACTAACTACTGTACTAATGATCTGCAGGTCTCCTTCTTCGTTTTTTCTTTTTCTCTTTTGTTTTTGTCATTTTTGTTTTATTTGTGTTTTTTGTTTTATTACCCTACTTGTTGTATAACCCTTTGAAGAAGGAAAAATGTTAAGAAAAAGACAATCTTGACAAAGCTAACTATAAGCTTTCAATGATTTTTTTGGTGAGTTATCTAGTAAGTTAGATGCTGAATAGGAGTGAATTATTGCTGTGGCAGATTGCACTTGGGCACTATTATAAGCAGCTGAGTGAGTCTTTATTGAAGAGTAAAAGGGTAGAAGATATTGAGTTTATTGCAGACTTGTAGTTTGAAAACTATGTATTTAGATTACGCACTTCTAATACAATAAAGACAGGATTACCAAATTTAAAAAAAATAAAAAAGAAATATGTAATAATACTGTAATAGCTTACCTGAGTCTAAAATGATTAATTAAAAGTTAATTAGACAATTTATTCTTTCAATACAAATAGTGCTCCAGTATCATTTGAAATGAATAATTAATTGGATATAAAAGCAATTTAATTTTAGTATATTAAAATTTTATATAAATGATGAATTATGTAATAATATCGTAGTAGCTTACCTGAGTCTAAAATGATTAATTAAAAATTAATTAGACAATTTATTCTCTCAATACAAATAGTGCTCCAGTATTAATTAAAATGAATAATTAATTGGATATAAAAGTGATTTAATTAAAGTATATTAAAATTTTATATAAATGATGAGTTGTATATCAGAATCCTGATATACAAAATCCCAACACACAAAATCCTGGCAACAAAATCCCAATATACAAAATCCTGACAAATTAAAATTCTAATTTTAATATCTTTAGAATTTTAATTTGTTGGGATTTTGTTTATTGGGATTTTGTTGCAGGGATTTTGTGTATTGGGATTTTGTGTGTTAGAATTCTGATATACAACCAAATGATGAATTATATAATAATACCATAGTAGCTTATCTAAGTTTAAAATGATTAATTGAAAGTTAATTAGACAATTTATTCTCAATACAAATAGTGCTCCAGTATTATTTGAAATGAATAATTAATTGGTAAAGTATATTAATTAAATTTTATATAAATGATGAATTATGTAATAATACTGTAATAGCGCACTTGAGTCTAATATGATTAATTAAAAGTTAATATATCTAATAATGCAATTGCATAAAATATATTTAATAAAATGAATCAAAAAAATTTTTTTTTTGTTCTTGACAGTTAGCTGAAAAAACTGTATATTTCTTATTTAAAATAGAAGTATAAGCTTAAGAATTGTTTTAACTTATAAGGATAAATTATTAATCCAATTTTATTTTGTACATTTAAAATAAGAGTTTATTTTGTAGTGCTTCATAATCAATGGTTTTGATATAATGAAACCTTAATACAATGCTAAAATACTAAATAATCTTTTAGAGCTACCAAAGCCATTGTCTAATAATATTGCAGCTATACTTACTCCAAATTATGATTATGTGGTCTCAGAACAATTATTGGCATCAAATATAATAGACATTGCAGTCATATTTACTTCAAAATTTGACTCAAAACAATTGTCAGTCTCAAATACAATAGAAGCTTTGTATTATGTAAACACGGAATGATTATTGAATATGATGGAATTTTCATATGATGCTGAAATATTAGATCCTCTAGAGCCACTATCTGATAACATTGCAGCTAGATTTACTGATTGTGAAGTCTCAGAATGATCATTGGTTTTAGATACAGTAGAACCTTCATACAATGTGGAGCTATTACCTAATAACATTGCAGCTATACTTCCTCCAAATTATGATTATGTAGTTTCAGAATATAAACAACTCCCTAACTATATAACAGCAGAAGGGTTTTTAATTGATTAGTTCGAAGCAGACCTTTTTGTAAATATCAGTGATGTTGAAAGTGCATGGCAGTAGTTTATGCAATTCAAAAAATATCAAAAACAACAATGCCCAAAACAAAAAGTTTTAAAATTCAAAAAAAAAGTTCTCTTTAGAAAATTATGGCATTGTATACATAGTGATAACGTACGGCAAAAATAGGGAGATTCTATTTTAAAAAATCTACATTTACTAAGAGTAAAAAACACAGGATATGAGGCTACTATCCACTTCCGGCTTAAACATTGGCGTCTTCAAATGACTCATCCATTTGAAATTAATATCAAATTTGTGCATAATCATGCTTTTACTTTGCGGAGTTTCTTAGTTTTCAACATGTTAAAAATGATGTTTGTAGTAAATATATTGAACTTTTTAGCAATGGATATTCACTAGCAATTGCCTTGCATACTTATGAGGATAACCTTTATTTGCATGCAAATGATAAGCAAAAGCTTATGCGGCTATTAGGAGATCACATGGAAAATCTAAACTATAGTTATGTTTTATATTTGTTTGAACAATATCGAAATAAACATCTTGGAGATCAGAATGGTATATTGATGTTTCAACACCTTGAACAAGAGGTTAATAATTACAATAGTTCAGAGAAGGGTTATGCTATATTTCAAAAATATAATTCATTATCAGAAAAGGCCTATACTTTGCATTGTTACCAATTTAATGAGCTGTGTCTATGAAAAAATTCATTAGGCAAGTGAGCTCTATTAAGTTAATGGCATCTGCTTCCTTTGAATCATTGAATACATCGATTACATTATTTTATACATGTTGCCTTGCAGGTGCATTATCTCTTGGAGTTGTGATAATATCTAATGAATTAGAAATAATTTTGGAAAAAGGAATAAGTCTTTTAAAGAATCTTCTTCCACCCTATGCTTTCTATGGCCATAGTCCTAATATTGGCCCAATAGTTTTTCTTACTGATGATTCTAAAGCTGAGAGAAATGCATTAGAGAGTTCCTGGCCACAATCAACACGATTGTAATGTATATTTCATATTCTTCAAGCTTTTTGGCATTGGTTGCATAATATAAAGCATAATATAAATAAGGAATATAGATCTCATATAATGAATAATATGAAGCAAATATTATATGTGCGAACAGAAACTGAAATGGTTGAATATTATCATAGGTTAAAGAATAATTATTATAGTATTTATCTGCAATTACAAAAGTATATTGATTTGTTTTGGAATAGGTAACAACTCTGGGCACTGTCATTATATTCTGAACTTCCTTTGTATGGGAACAACACTAATAACTATGTAGAATATAGCTTTGGATTACTAAAAGATGTTGTATTTGTATGTACTCAGGCATATAATTGCGTTCAGGTTTTTAATTAATAACTACTATTATAGAATGCTTCTATGAATGCTGATTACTTGGTATAGCCTATCGTCACCTGGTCATCTTAATATCGCTAAGCAATTTTTATATCCTGGTTGAGAGACTATAAATTTATAAAAAATTTACCAAACTAATATATCTGCAAAATACCTAGTCCAAAGTCAAAAAAGTAAAGACAAATTTTATATTGTTAATACTAAACTTTATACATATATATATTTCACCAAATTATCTGGAGCTTTATGCAAACATCAGGGAGCAGTATCTGTAAATTATTATATTGGATTGTTAAATTTTTTCAGTTATTAACACCTAATGATTATACTTGTTTCATGTATATTGCATATAGTAAGTGATTAATATTTATAAACAATTACTAATCTTTAACAATTACTAATTTAATTTTCTTTTTATCTTAAGGACTTATAGCAGATAATTATTTTTATGCATCACTGCATGATACCCAATATGAATATCATGAAAATAACTTATTAATTAATATGCTCCAAGAAATAGATAAAACTCAAGAGCCACAAGAACCTGAAGTAGACGTAGACCAAGTTACTGTAGCAGAGTATGTATTTTTTCTTTATTTATTTATTTTTATACATACTAATTAGATATTTTGTTTTTAGGCATAATCTGGCTTTTTTTGAATCATTTATTGAAACAATAAAACACGATTATGAAAATTATAAACCACAATTTCAGACAGCTTTTATGAAGTTTGCAGAATGATACAATGCAGCAAAGGAAAAATCTATTCTAGCCTTAACTTTATTTCTATATAATATGAATCACAATTTTGATTCACTTGTGCGTATTTGAAGTGGTCCAAAAATTTGAGTACAAGTAGAATCAGTAAAATGTAAAAAGTTAATAAAGAAAATTGTGATTCGCATGCTATTTTAGCATGTAAAGTTTGAGTAGCTAGTAAAAAAGCACATAGCCTTAGTAAAAAGAATCAGTTGAATTAATAGCTCTGCATGCAATTAGTATAAACGCTTAACCAAAAAATTTATATATTAATTCAGTCTCAGATATTACCAAATTTGGACAATGCAGATCACATCCTTTTTTGTAAATTTAGAAAATTCTTGGTACTTCTATTTAAGTCTATATCTATTCTATACTAGTTTATGGGCTAAATTTATACCAATCACATTTGTTTACTGATTTGGTAAACAACCACCTTATAAAGCTTTCAGGATCATGTAGGATCCCTAGACTATGTATTTTTAAGACTATTTATATTTGAATTAATTCAAAAGTTTATTATTAATATGCTCATAATCCCGCCACTAGTAATTTTATATATAAATTGATTCTAGAGTATTCTTTACTATGTTGTGAATTGATTTCTATATTTGGTAATATCCGATACTGTAATTGCAAGGTAAAAAAGATACTTGCAAATAATATAATATTGTGAAAGTAGTTAATATAATTTTTTATTATACGCATATTTCTAAGTAATATGAATATGCCAAAGTAGGTGTTAAAACACCTAAATTACTGGTCAAATGAAATAGTACCAAAAATCTAATTATTTTAAAAATGTTGTATAAAAAGTTTTAATTTACCTGAATCTCTAAAAAATTTTAAATGCATTATTCTAAAAGCAACAATTTAAAGTAAAGTAACAATTGTAGAGTATTACTATGATAAGTATTTGATTTTACACTCTATATTTATACTAATCTTAAGTGCTTCTAATTCCTTTAGCTATATACTATAGAGATGAACAATTGCTTGAGAATTTTGATAACAAATATTAACTATATTTTTGTTTTAGTGATTATAAACCAAATTCTTTAAATGTGTATAACTACCAATACTAGTAAATAAAAAATAAAAAGGGCTAGTATTTTTTTTTTTTTTTTTTTTTTTTTTTTTTAATTTTATTTTTTTTCTTTTTGCTCCCGTGATTTTTTTGTGTTA